GTGCGTGCGTGCGTGCCTCCCTCTTGGTACCACTGTTAAGAGTTAAACAAACAGCATGGGGAAATCCATCAGTCCGCAGGCAGGAATCTGATTTTGATTTGGAACCTAGTGTCGTAATGATCAGTGGGTACGTTTTGGCTTTCGGACAGACCATCATATGTGCCAGCTGCACATTTGGGCCAAAATCTATATTTCCTAATGTCATTTCTTTCTTTGCGTGTGAGGTTCACTTCCTGTAAATCAGTACTTGCAGTTTGGCTCCAAACAAAGTTCATGTCCTTCATGATGTTGCAGCTAAACTGGATGTGTAGACATTAAAACAATAAAAATAAGTAGAATATTTATTCTATTTTTGGCCCTGCTGGTCCTTCTCACTGCTGCTGCCTGTGGCTCCAGTTATTAGCAGTGACCACGTGATGTCAGTGAATCGTGCTTATAGCAGGAAGTCATGGCAAAGCAGCGATAATCGCCATTAATTATCCCCTAAGTCCCCTGCTGTCACTGTGCTGCTGTGTGTAATGTGTATTGTCTTTTGGCAGCAGTGGCAACACGTATCACTGATGTGCACACGTGACACACGTGACACGTTTAAACGTAGAGATGCATACAGATCTGTCCTACATAACGTATCCCTCCTCTGTATGTAAATGGCTCTACGTCTCACTCGAGCCCTCAGCACAGCATCATTTGTTGCACATATTTGTCACTTGTGGTCTCATAATGTCCATCCGTCTGTGCTTAATCACCGCACTGCTCCTTGGTTTGTGGTCAGCAGTCGAGATCTTGGATGATGTCGTTGTAGCTCAAACAAACTGCAGTTATAAAGTGAAAAGATGAAAACATGTTTTGTTATTGTAGGAACTATGAAGATGACTCAGCATGATAAAGAAATGTTCATTGATAATATTTTTATTGTTCTCTTCTGGCACAGTTAACTTTTTAAACATTATTTTTTGCTTTTGGTTAGAAGATTAGCATTTCATCCTCACACAAAATTACTTTTATTTCATAGAATAAATTTCCATTTTTAACTTGTTAAATTTTTTTTTATACTTTTCCACACAACATTTTCCCCTGACGCCTTTCATTGAGATGCGAGGAGACGTTTTGTTTTCAGCGTCCTCATCTTTGTATTTGTTGTGGTAACATTCATCGTTTCTCCCGGCAGGTTACGCTCCGGTCACAGGAATGTGCCACCCAGTCCGGAGCTGCACCCTGAACCACGAAGACGGCTTCTCCTCCGCCTTTGTTGTGGCTCATGAGACCGGACACGTGTGAGTTGCTCGTTTTCAGAGGTTGTTTACTAAGCATGTGTCCATGAACTCAGCCCTTGTTCATTATCTTCTCCTTTTCTCCACATTTCCTGCATCATATGAAATAAGGATAAACAAACTCACATCAGCTGGAAGCATTAAAAAGTTATTAAAACCTGCCGTTCTCTGAAAGGCAGAATTAAGCACATATTGAGTAAATGCACAATAACAGACTGCACGGTGGATAAGCTGCGTTTAGCTTCATGTTGCTGGGCAACAAATTAAACTGGCTGGCTGAGTGTGGTTTGCTCATTAACGTGACACAGTGAGGGCCGTTTGGCTGGTGTGTCCAAATCACCTGGAATAGCTGCTTTGAAAAGTGGCGTTAATTTTATCGTAGCATCAATAAAGATTTTTTGTCTGTGTAAACAAACCGACCAATCAAATGAAGCTGTAGCGCTGTAATGAAATCTCTGCACATTTCCAAATGTCCAAACTCTGAGTGTGGAGTTTAAAAACAAATGTAAAAAAATAGAGAAAGAAACTCACAACGTGGTCGTTTTTGTAATTAATACTAAAATTATATATTGTGTGTGTGTGAGGGAGGGAGTGCACATGCATATGTGTGTTTGTGGCTTCCAGAACAGTTGGTGTCTTACATGTAAGGTGTTTATGGGAGATTTGTAAATTGTAGCTACAGATAATAGCCAAGGTCGCGCCATCCCTGATGGCTCCTGTGCTGCTGAATGATAAATACTGATGAAAAGAAGTGGTGGGAAAAGATATTCTGGAAAAAGAAAAAAAGAAGGGCTGAAACAAAAGTCCTGTGGCGAATATCAAATTGGTCTTTATAATTTGTCATTTGTACACAAATCTTTTCTGAAACCCTAAACAAGTCACTTTTCTTTGTGATGCCTGAACCGAACAGAAGGTGAAAATGAAGGTAAAAAGTCTGAGAAAGAGAGAAAACAGGCATCTCAACCTCATATGTTACTGTTGAAAACTGCATGGCCCACCCACCTGTCAGCTAATGTAGAAATGCATTAGCCCACACTACCCTTCAGCAATGAGGAACGACCCCCCCTGAATGATAACGGTCTGCTACAGGCAGAGGAAACATTCAAACTCACCAACAACACCGACTCTGCACACAGGAAACACTCCTCTGCAGCTTAAACGCGCTTTCTTCCTGTAGTCTGCCATTAAACAAGAGACATCTGAAACATAGTCTCTTGAATGTGTGAAGCCTAAACCTCCGGGTTAATATGCGCTGTAGTTTAATCCATGTGATATAGTCAGAGTTGAACTCTTCACATGAGAAGTGGCAGCGCGGTGAAACTTGGACTACAGTGTGAAACAGAATTTTCCACTTTCCTGCTCTTTCAAGCTGTTTCCACGTCTCCTGTGGAGCTTTTGTTGCGAGTTCTGAAATTTGAAATCAACGCAGCGGGAGAGACTGTCAACAAAGAGCAAATATTTGTCTGCCAGCTGGGTACAGAAACTGGTTCTGAGTCCAGTTGGACAGGATAGAAAAAAGACGGTAGATTTAAGAGATTATCAGAAACGCTCAGAGCGAAATGTCAGTATTGTTGAAAAGCATCAGGTGATTTTACAGATGAAGCAGTCATGAGACGGGAGTTTGAAATGATCAATAACAAAGGTACATGATGCGGGTTTTGTTTGAACATATTAAGAATGAAAGGGAGACTGGATTATAGCGTGGAGAACAGAGGTATTCAGCAGGAACAGAAGCTTTTTGAAACCCAGCGGAGATGGCGAGGGTCCTTCACAATGAGATGTCCCAGGGCACAGCATGAAATCCTCCGACTGTACAAACGAAGCAGGCCTAGTGAGCAGGGATGTCCGGGGATCGATAGATGCTCTGAGAAAATAAAACGGATTAGAGCAGTGTGGAAACCAGCAGCTGTGCAGTACACACCGACAGCTTTCTGGTTCTGAGAGAAGAGCCTAGAGGGCAAACACTGAGGTATTTAATTTACCGTCAAAGATTAAACTCTATTGGAGGGAAAAATCTATTTAAACATGCTGAAAGCATCTGGAGCTGAAGAGAAGGGAACAGCAGCACGAGGCAGAGGCAGGATGATGGTGATCGCTGCTTTTTAGGCCCTACAGACTGTGCAAGGATCGGTTTAGTCCTGAGATATATCACAGATATGCACATATCAATTAGGGGAAGATTTTTAAAAGCCTTTATAGACGGAGAAATGGTTTCATCGAGAGCTCCTTCAATGTTGATGTGGGCAGGAGAGGAGTGTTGAAGGACGAACTTAAACCTTTGCTCACAAACTGTGAATTTATAGAAGTAAAGTACTTAAGCTTGTTTACATGTTGGCAGTATTTTAAAGTTGGTGCCTTGCTGCAGAAACCCAGGACCACCGGGGTGGTGGCTTTGAATCCACCATCTGTCCGTCGTTTCTGTGCATCGTCTGCAGCTTCTTCCAGTGTCTGCGTGGCTTCTGTCCTGCACTCTGGCTAACAGCTAAACATGCAGTTAGTGGACTCAGGTTAATTGGTGATTCTAAATTAGTTTTAGGTTTTGTGTCTCTCTGTGAGCGCTGTGGCAGAAACAGGAACCTGCCCAGGGTGCACCCCACCTCTCGCCTTATTGATCTGTGTGTGAGCATCGCTGCAGCACTCCTTCCAATACACCTTCACAGTTGGAGCCTGGCTGTAGCTCAGGAGGTGGAGCAGGTCATTTACTAATTGGAAGGTTTGTGGTTTGGTCCCTGGCTTATCCAGGCTGGATGCCAGAGTATTCTTGGACAACATACTAACCTCAGTGTGAACGTTACAAAAAAATCACTTAGGCAGACAAAGCTGAGGAAAAAGTGCCCGTATAATGTCCGAGGGCTGAGGTAGAGCAGAGACGCACTATATAAGAATCAGTCCATTTACCATCAACACGCTGCTCTACTTTTAAAGTGGTCAGTGAGCGGTGGACGTCCACTCTGAGCACCTCTGAAGGACATGCTTCATCTAGAGGTGTGGAAACAGACTGGGCTCATTGAACATGTGCTCAGTTACAGTAAATGCTGGGCTTCATTATATCCTGCCTCCTCACTTCAGCTTCCATTCTGTGGCCCCGAACGACCTTAAAGTAGAAGGAACCCAAGAACATGAACTCAATTTATTTTAATTAACCTGTTTCCATAGTTCAGATGTCATGTACAGTAGTAGAGACATCGATGTTTCCAGCACCATTGGAGGTTTTTAGAAATGAAGCCTATTAGAATGCACACCCAGTAAATCCTGCCACATCGAGTTTTTCCAGTAAAGTTTAGGCCAAGATCCTCAGAGGATGTTGCTGCGAAATAAGAAAGTAGGCATCAAGTCAAGTTTCTTAAAAAGGCGGGTGTGTTGCCGTCGACGATTACATCAGTCAGACTCAGTCTGCACATTGTGTTAAAATGAGACTGAGCGCATACGTCTGCTGCAACTCTGTCATTAACCTGTGCAAGATCCTGTGTGACGTGAGCTGTAGGTGACGAGCACATACTCTTCCCACACCTTTCCGATGACAATTTCTGCATCCTTTCAACACTAAACAATGCGGCAATCATTACCGCTTCCCTCAGCGGCTGACCATGTGAGCAGGGTCACTGTGCAACAACTTCTGTCACTTTTGCATCTGCAAACAAGTGCTGCACCACGAATGCTTTGAGAGTGAGCGATTGTAAGTTTGCGTCATTGCCTGCACATGTATTCAGTGCAAAAGAGGGGCAGTGTTATACAGAGGAGATCATCACCCGGCATTCAGGTCTGACCATTTAACTTCATTTGGTGTCAGCCAGGCGGCACATAACGTACAGCATCATGATGTAAACGCAGCTTTCAGTGAGTTGAATAAAATAGTAAACATGTGCCGTTCAGCTTCCAGCTACTAAATATCAGCTTTTGAGCTTACTTCACATATAGAATGTGTGAAGTAAGCTCTGAAGAAGAATATATTTTCATCTCTAATGGCAGCTCTGTGTTAGGTGCTCTTTCTAACACCCTGAACAGGATTTTAAGATTCATCTGCAGTTACAAAAATGGACTCTATATACTTTTATTTCCAGTTGTTGTTGTCTCCCTCCTGTTTTCTGCCTCCTGCTGCACTGAAATAAAATCATTGAATTCGTTGCAAAGCAGGACTGAGAATAAGTTTTTCATTCTTTCCTGTTTTCTTATTTTCTTAGATTTATTACTGTCGTTATGCTTGAGTATCTGCATGTAGCACATTGGAACAGTGGAATTGCACACAAGTCTTTCAAAGCATTTTTATATATATCTATGTATATGTGTGTGTGTGTAGATAGATCCATAGATAAACCCTTTAAAGAAAGTTCAGAAAAAACAAAAAAGCTCATAAATAAGTGCCTGTGTCATATAAGTATTTCTTCTTGTATTTTATCCCAGACAGGGATTTAAATCCTTCTGATCTGCAGGTTTTTATCAGTTTGCCAGTTACCACATCCCACATCCAAACTCTTTAAGGGAATAAATTATTAATGTAATCTAAAGGCATTTAATCTAAAGTGAGAGCAAACTCAGATTCCAAGTACTTTCACGAGGGAACACATGGTTAATAACGCTCCCAAACATGGATTTCATTCATTCATTTAGGAATTTTGCATTTAAAAGTTGCCCATAGATGATGAAAGGGTTGATTCCTGAGAGTTTCCGATCTAACCTGCCTGAATCATTGCTGATTTGCTCTGATCTGTTTGCCTCTTTGGTTTGATTCGTCTGAGACAGTGTGAAAGCTTTTCACTCTGAGTCTGACGCAAACCAAACAGCAGAAAATGTGGTTCTCAGTGTGGCTGCAGTCAGCTCAGTGTGTGAAGGCAAAGCAGACCATCACTGTCTGATGATGGATGTTTAACTTCAGCTGGAAGTCATAAAATGAACATCTCCTTCAGCTGTAAATGAACCTATCATGTGTATGTTAGGATGCTCACACGGTACCTGGGTTTATTTCTATTCTCTCTTAAAAAGAATTTCCACGATCTCCAAGTGTAACACGTACTGATTTCCATTCATGGATCTAATACGGGACAGCTGCCAAAATCCATGCGCAAAAAAAACAAATCCAACAAACCCCTGCTCCAAAAAAGAGCTCAAAGAAAAGTACTTTCACAAAAAGACTGCACTGAAGTACAAGGCTGAACATCACCAGTGGGAGTCCTGTCTCCTCTGATTAAAGGGAGAAGCTAAAGCAGCAGGCCACGCCATCACTCGGTAAAGTTATCTGCGGTCACGGGATGAATGTAACAGACTCATCTAAACAGTAAGGACACAGGATTCAGCAGGTTCATTAGCACCAAGCATTATTTGCTTTGTACATATTATTTATGGAGTATGCTGTTTCTAGCATTTGTGTTGGGTGGTGAGGCGGAGGTCATGGTGGTGCTCACATTTCCAGATGATCATCACAGAATTCTGACACTGTCACAGTTTGTTTGAAAAGACCGAATCAGCTGATCCTCTCTCACTGTGTGAGCTGGGACCAGCATTCTGGAGCCATGACCAAAGGAAGTCACATGTAACATACAATCAGCTGAAACCCGTTAAAGACACCAGGCTCTGTGCTCTATGCAAAACTACACGTGTAAAAATAAGCAATGGCACGTGATCATTCATAGCATTCATACTTACAAAAACATATCTCATCAGTTATGGTGGGCGTTACTGTGAACACTGAAGAAGCAGGTCTGTCTGATTAGGAACGTTTGAACTTGACTGGATTAAAGTACTAACACGATTTTGATAGTCGACTAATCGTGGCAGCCCTAGCTCTGACCTTTCCACTTGTTTTATAAATTGAAGTTGTAAAAAATAATGAAATCCTTGTCGGCGAGGTTTATCTTGTATTGCTGTTCTGCTGTTTTGTAATTTATGGTTTGTCTCTGCCTGTGAGAGCAGGTTGGGCATGGAGCACGATGGCCAAGGCAACCGCTGTGGGGACGAAACGGCGATGGGAAGCGTGATGGCCCCGCTGGTGCAGGCGGCCTTCCATCGATACCACTGGTCAATGTGCAGCGGGCAGGAGCTGAAGCGATACATCCAGTGAGTTCATAAACCTGCACAGTACTCCGCATGGGTGCTGACAATCACGACTCCAGAGCTCCACCTGGGATGCGTAAAAAAAAAAAAAGAATAAATCACAAAATATAAGAGTTAAGTTAAAATTGGGAAATGTTTTATTAAAAGCTTTATTAAACAACAACCTCCTCAGCTACATACATTTGCTCAGAGATTTTGGGGTGGATGAGTAAATAAATTCTCAGTAAGACCTGACAGTCGGATGCTGGAGCAGTGGGGTCAGACGCAGTTGTGATGTCCTGCAGCACAGAGGGATGGATGGGAACGCCACCAAAATTAGGAGAATGAGTTTGGCACATCTTAATGTTCCTCCATAATTTTGACTCTTGGAAACGTATAAAGGAGACAAGCAGGCTGTTTGTTGGCGGTGCAGTGTCAGAAACGTCAAATCAATCACAGCCCAGTGAGCAAATTGCATTTTACAGCTCAGTAGCCAAACTATAAAGAGCTACATGGTTGCTCTATCTGCCCCATATTTCATACTCTGTTTGTCCTCAGCATGCATTCATCTTATTTAGTGTTGTCTACACTCACAACAACAGTAACGTCAGTGTATGTTTTATCATAAGATAGAAAACCAGCAAGAAATATATGAAGAGGAAGCCAACGATCTGTGAGCAAGCACAACAAATCCTGTTTTAGAGTCAGAACAGGCAGGCTGAAGGTAATAACAGAATAATTAGCCTAATTCATGCAGTGTGACAGAGAGGAGACCCCAGAAATTCCCCTAAAGCACTCCAATCTGTTGAGACACTTTATATTTAAAATATCTTATTACTTACAGCCAAGTGCCAACATGATGAAAATGTCTGGCTCCGCCCACCAGAATAAATTGTCTTCTTTATGCTTCGTCTGGTGTCCTGCTAATAACCGTATAACCTGTTAACCCGAGGACGTCTGAGCTTTGACACCAGCGTTGTTGGCCTGTGTTCAGTTCATAGACATGGATTTTTCTTCTTCTCTCTGTAACTGACAGGCAAAGCTTAGCGGAGCGTGGACACAAAATTATTGACAGAGCCTCAAAGAGGATGACAGTGGCAGCGAGCAATCAATCACCAAACAGTACTGCGATTTTTTTTTTCTGGCTTTTATTATGAAAGGTGCCTTTGTTGACAAAAATCAATGTATAGCAGGAAAAAGTTTCCGCGTTATCTCGATATGAAGACTTTGTGAGGCAGCTGCTGAGAAGAAATTTAATGAGAAGTTTAAAAATCATTCCACATTTTCAAAAGGCACATATGCCTGCTCTGTCTCTGCGCCGGGTTTAGCTGTGCCCCGTGAAAAAACAAACAGCCAGGCTGGGGTTTACTGCAGCTGAGCCGCTTCTCACCACCTGGCTCTGTCGTTAAATTAGGAAGTATGTGCATAAATCTCAGTGGGAAAACAAGCAGTTTCTGGATTTCTCTGATAGCTTTGTGCCGCATTCAGGTAAAATCAGAATGGTCAAAAGTTAAGAAATATCAGAGGGGCGTATTTAGCCTTTTAGCTTTCCTTTGGGTTCGTTTCTTAATCATTTGCTTAATAATTAGATTTTGCACTGACGTCGATGGAGGGACTAAATGTCTCAGTGAAACTGAAAGTTTCTGTTAAGGTCCTTTCTTTAACTTTACTCTAATGTGTTACTTTGTAACAACAAACCACACGCAGCGTATAACAGACGGCTTTTATAGCATCTGCAAACAGCAGAGCAACAAGTCGTTTCTCTTGTTATATTGAGCAGGTTAACTAGTGTTGATGCAACAGTTTGAGTTGCTGCAGGGCCTTTAAATTCAATCACCCATTAAGCAGTAACTCCCACAGTGAACAAACAGAATGAAGTCAAAACTATGAAACGAATTAACAAATGAAAACAACGCTTCCGGTTATGCTAAAATATCAACGTAACAGAGACTTGAGTTATATGGATCATTTGTTGGACTGATGGTTTTATCTGCAGAGGGCTGATGATTGCAGGGAAAAGCTGCAGTGAGGGGGTTTGATGCCTTTGCTCTGCTGGATGTTTTGGATTCACTTAGAGTGAATTAATTCGTGACAGCAAATAAGTAAAAATTATGCGACAGCTTGTGGCCACATCTAGGAGAGGGTGTGGCCTCAGGCTTTCCAGGTGCACATGCCCTTTCAAATAAAGATCTCTAGTTTGTGTCAATAAACCTTTTTGGCCCTGTGAACTTTGTTTGGCTTGTTCAGAGTGAAAACATGAACCTTCATGTCCTCACAGCACGTATGATTGTCTCCTGGATGACCCCTTCAAACATGACTGGCCGGAGCTTCCTGAACTTCCTGGCATCAACTACTCGATGGATGAACAGTGTCGATTTGACTTCGGGGTCGGCTACAAGATCTGCACTTCCGTGAGTAAAAGATAAAAAAATATGTAATCGATAGCAGAAACCAGCTAAAACATATCCTATGGAAACTGTTGAAGAAGTTATTTCTTTAGACTCTTGGGATGAGCGAGCAGGGACTTTCAGTGAGGTTTCTGCAGAAAGCTGTGCTGATCACAGCCTCCAGAGGAAACGGACTTTGAAATCTCAGACGATCAGAAACCGTCTGCAGGTTATCGAGCGCTTCAAACAGAAGCCTGCTCGTTTAACCTCAATCACACCTGTGATTCCCCAGACCTCTGCAGATGGCAGGGTGATCACTGTTGTCCCTGTTTGCTGTCGTCTGTTTCCAGCAGGTCAGAGATGCTCAAATAACAGATAAAAATGAGCTTCTCCAGTTGTTATTTGGAGAATACCGCGCTAATAAAAATGCAGATGTGCTCAGTATGAGCTGTTGAATCTTAAGCTTTGAGTGTTTGCAAGATTTTGTTTTATTTTTTTACTTACAACAAAAGTGAGTTTTAAAAAGTCAGAAATGCAGCAGCCTGATGAGAGGCAGACGTAACGATGTTGATCGTGTGTTGCAGAAAGTGTCACGCTGTACTCAAAAAAGCTTTAAACTTGCAGAAGACGACTTATTATTTTGGGAGCTGTAGGAACAGAATGAGAGTCTGAGGACTGGGCGTCTGGCTACGATCGTCGATCGATGTCTGGGGTCCTGACTTTACACTGAGGTTGGCATTTCTTTGAAAGCATTTCGAAAGTCAACAGAGTCCCGGCGATGCAGTCCTATTATCGCTGAAGGCTGCATTGTTTGATTTCAGCTTAAAAAGGAGGCCCGGCTGCTCTGTCTGAGGTTTAATAGCTTGTAGCTGACAGTTTTCCATGCCCTTTGTTCTCTACAAAGATCAATTTTTGGTTCTTATTTCTGCTTGTTCATTTCACGAGATGATACACTGCTAAGAGGAGACGCTGTATGCCTTTTTAAAATTTCCTTCCTCTTCCCCATCTTATTAAAAAATTTATCAGATGATCACTTCTGCTGTTTATGAAAGTCTGCAGCTACACGCAGTGCTACAGAGCACTTCAGCAGTTTTCATCTTATTATTTCGAGTTTCCAGCCCGAGGTGGGTGGGTGTGTGTGTGTGTGTGTGTGTGTGTGTGTGTGTGTGTGTGTGTGTGTGTGTGTGTGTGTCTAGAATACATGCCGAGATCTCTGATCAGCAGACTGAACATTTCCTCTCCAGCGTCAGATGGCAGATAGACATGGTTTGTGACTAGATGTGCACCTAATGCAGCATTTGGTGACTGTAGAGCAAAGTATTCCCTGTAGATGTGAGACCACGGCCACAGCTAAGTGTTTAAATAGTGAACTTACTAAGTGTAACTTCCTGTTTGCTCTAAGTACAAAATGTAAACTGCTTGATTCAGGTTTGCCATTAATGTCTGTGCTCTGCTTCAAATCTAATAAAAGGCCTGTTAAAGTGCTTAGATGAAATTAATCTAAACCGACATTTACATCATGGAGGTTTAATTTATTACAGTGCTCGAGGTTTTACAGACAGCAGGGATGTGCCCACCGAGAGCAGGTTGCTCATATACCGAGACTGCTTCCTTTGTAGTCATGCTAATCTAATCTAATGCTCATCTAAATGATGAAAAACAGCTAAAAATGTATTTAAAACACTTAAAAGCATCACCGGCTATTTAAATTTGACACAACTCGTTTCACATTACCTAGAAGAGAGAGACCTCGCTCTGGGAGCACAGAGAGTCTTCGGCTCGTGTTCAGGTTGATATGACCTGTAGTCGCTTTTTTGTGTAAAAGTAATAAATGAGAATGATTTTCTTCTCACAGAAGAAATAATAAAGACGTAAGAAATAAATAAAAGAAATAATGGTTTTCTTCAAAGGCACCTATTTTTCTTTTCCATATTTTGTCATATACTTGCAGTTCAAATGATGCACACTCACATTAAAAATAGTTTCAAACAGTGAGCTCAGCATATGTGCAAATAGCCACCATGAGACAAAAGGACTGATTGCTCTAAATGCTTTTTTTCTTCTGTTGGATCTCTGTGACGTCATAGAGAAGCGATGGTCATCTCAGGCGTGTTGTACCAGTCCTGTTGTACTGCTAATTAAATATGATATTTCATCAGGAGGCAGCTTCAGCTTCTGTGAGCGCGTCACTTTCACCCAGTTACTGTTGCCCTGTTGTTTATGAGGGGCAGCCAATCAGAGGACTTTAAAGAAAGGCTCGTTTTCAAAAGCTGCTCTAGTATTATCCAATAATAAAACACTGTGAGCCAAGTAGTAACTTTTTTTTGCACCTCATGTTCCAGAATTATTTCCAGCGTCAGCTTGGTGTAAGATCAAGCAAACATTTCTGCTTCATCTACACTGAGAAGTAAACTTTTTCCACTTTAAAGTTTCCTGTGTTGTGTTTCAGTGCTGACGTAGGACAATTGTCTAATTTAAGTACGACTGTGCAATGACAGCAAAGACTCAAGTTCAACCTAACAAAAGTCTACGCTGTTACCTACGAGATGTTTACAGCCTGCAGCTGTTAAAAAAGCAGAAGAAATCCAGAAGTGAAGAGATTCAAGACACGCTCTGTTGATCAGCCTCTTTAAAACCTCCGTTGGTTCAGGTTTGTTTGCTATGATGTTAACTCTTCCACAAAAGCTGGATGCTAGCACAGATGATTGTTTTAGCATCGCAAATGAGCAAATCACAAATTAGGCGTGTCATTGCCCAGCTGAGCAGATTACAGCTGTTACTGCTTACTGGGCCATTCTGAAGTACTGTTTAGATCAAGTGGCCGGTTTAATTTCTCTATGCTTATCTACATCTATTAAGGCCACGTTAGCTTTACACCCACATTTCTGGGTCACAGGATTTGCCTGTAGGTGGACCTGACCTGCATTTTGCCCCAGTTTTGCCTTTTTAACCGAACATCCACAGAGAGGTTCGGCCAGCGAAGGCAGGCTGCTCTGTTGGGTCTCAAAAAGAGTCATTTTTACAAGGAAGGGCTGAACAATCTACGATCCCTATGGAGATTTAAAAAAAAAAAAAGAGTATACATGTATACACCATGTTTTCTATGCTTTTGATGCTTCTCCTTTTTAGTTTTAGCTTTTTTCCATCAAACAAAAGCATCAGGAAAGCTGTAAAAGGAAAACATGAAGTGGTAGAGTTACCCTGAGTTTGCTTCAGCCTGAGAGTTTGATTTATAGATGTCTTACTCTTTATTAAAACCCCACGCAGGGCCTGTGCTCGCAGTGCAGACAGATAAATGTGTAACAGACAACAACACAGTCCTTTAGAGACAGCTGATTATCGACCTGTCAGACCAAAAACAGTCCCGCAGTTTATGGCTGTCGCGCTCACCGTTGCTGTAATTTAACTTCCACAAAGAATCGGACAGAAAGTTAGTGAAGCTGTTAGATGTTAGAATAATAGAATCCCAAATGAACTTTAAAATAAAAGACACAACTTCTTGTGTGTCTTCCTTACTCTGACCAGGAACAAAAGACATGTGATGAGCGACCTTACTAACAAAACCAAAAGGAATCGGGCCTGAAGAAGTCAATGTACTGTCAAAATGTCATCCTGATGTGGAATGGAAGAAGGAATAAGAGCGAGATGGCAACATGGAGGTGTTATTTTTGCTCCTTTGTGCAGAATAATACCCGAGCGCTTTCAAAGAATTTATGATGTTTTTCTGTCTCCTGATGATTGCCTCATAAAGGAGGGAAAGGCAGTTCAGTTGGAGGCTGATAATGTTGCATAAGGTTGCAAGAAAAAGCTAAATTATTGCCTCGGTTTTGTTTAAAAATCCATCTCTGTCCAGGTTAAACTATTTGCCCACTAATTCTGCTGTTTCATAGAAATGCTCCTCTGCATCAGGTCACGACTGCAGAGAATATCTGGCTTCCATTTACCTGCCCGGTCGTTGTTCTTGAATGCAGATTATTACAAAAAGAAAATCAGATAATTCAGAGATGGTTTTCTGAGACTCGTTAAACTACTCACAAAGGGAACAGTCTGCAAATGGAAACAAAAAAAAAGCATCCAAAAACTGTGTTTTTGCAAACAGATTCTGAATATTGATTAAATGCATAAATGATTAGCAAGTGATGAAAATACACGAGCTGCTTGAACAGGATCCAAACACCCCGAGTATACAAATCATAAGCAGACTGTGGAAGCCCCACTGGGGCTGCTGCGCTGCACAAGTTAAAAAGATTTTTGTTTGTTGTTTAGAGAAAGAAGTCCCTCCAGGTAATTGTGTTTATGCTGCTGCAAACAAAGCACCGGCAACAGAGATGTGGCCGCAGCAGACATGTTCAGAAAGGCTTATTAACCTCTGCAGATGTCCCAGTTTTATCAGCGGTGCTCTCAAGTACTGCTAACGAGGCGGACGGGGGAACTAGTTCCCAATCCAGGTGAACTTAATAAGAAGATAGCTTCACACAGACATTAATGTCGTACCAGTAACTGCTTTGGATGAGGGCAAGACAGTGGAAACCAGTTTCTTTTAGAAGCAACAGATGATGACACAAACATGGTGAGAAATAACGAGCGTGTTAATATTTGGGAGATACCTGTTAGCACGTAGCACACATTATAAACTGTGTATTGTCTGGAGATCGACAGCCAAAAACAACCAAAAGCTTCTTGCGTCACACATTTATCTGCAGACGTGAAGGAAGCTGTTTGACTGTCAGACACTCGCAGATGTACCAGTGACGTCTGCTCTTGAACTGTCGCACAGTCTCTTGTCATTGAGATGTTTTGGGCAGCTTAACTGTCGCTTTTTAAGTTATCTCGAATTAATCTGATTGTCTGCTTAGATCCGTCAGAAATGTTCGACCACCTTACGTGACGAGGAACTTAACAAAAAGCCGTTATCAAAGAAGCCCACTCGGCCCTCTCTGGTAGATAAAGAGAAGTGAGAACGACAAATACCTACATACAGTTGTAGAGTGTGTCCCTCTTTTATCAGACAACTTTCATCGTTACTTTTGTGCTTATGTTCATTTCTTTTGCACCTTAGTTTATCAAGGACTCTTGGATATAACACAAATTCTTGTCTTATATGAAAAGAAAGTCTGACAGATACTCATTCCTTTGCTATTTTTAAGTGACCATATTCTGCTCACTCAGTTAGGCAACACAATGAGCAGCTGAGTTATCCTGCAGTTATATTTTTACCTATAGTGTGCCATGCTTTCAGTTGCCTTAACGTTTTTTGCTGTCTGTGTTCCAGTTTCGCACATTTGACCCGTGTAAACAGCTGTGGTGCAGCCACCCAGACAACCCCTACTTCTGTAAAACCAAGAAAGGGCCACCTCTCGATGGGACCGAGTGTGCACCTGGAAAAGTGAGTTTGTCTATTAGACCTACATACAATAAATCATGACCAACACTATAAGGGCACCGCCAGGAAAAAAGCCGGTGGATGGTGGAGATGGTTCGTGCAGTGCTCAGATGTTGTTGTCGCAGCTTCTAGCTGGACTCCACATTATCACGCACTATTTTTCAGTGTGCAAGGTAATCCAGTAGCATTAGGAGGATTACTTCAGCATTTAAAATATCTCTGATGACGTCATCACTTCACAGGACGAGCAACTGTGGTAACCACGGAAATCTTGACATTCCTGCCCACATCCTTCTGGCTAAAAAGTTTAGCATTTAGACAGGAGACCTTCTCTGCTGGCTTACTCTCCCCGTCTCTCTTTGCCTTCTCATCTCATGTAGTGGTGCTACAAAGGTCACTGCATGTGGAAAAACCCTAATCAGGTCAAGCAAGATGGTGCCTGGGGCTCCTGGAGCAAATATGGTTCCTGCTCACGCTCCTGTGGAACTGGAGTTCGATTACGGACACGTCAGTGCGCCAACCCTGCGTAAGTGGACAAGCATTGATTAGATTCAGGGCGGCATCAAGAATAATAGAAATAGTAAAGTATTTGAACAATGACGTGACTTTTGTCCTGGCTGCCTCCACCCCGAGCCACCTTCTGCTGGAGGTTTCTTCCTGTTAAAAAGGAGTTTTTCCTTCCCACTGTCACCAAGTACTTACTGAAGGGGGGAGGGTTTCCTCTACACTACTGTAGGTTCTTTAACTTACATATCAAGCACCTTGAGGCGACTGCTGGTGTGATTTGGTGCTGTATAAATAAAATTGAACTTTCATAATCTTCCCATTTAAATCACCGCTGTAGACACTTAATTACTTTTTATTAAACGCCTGAATTAAAGGTAAAGTCTTCATTTCAGTTATATCCTGATTCTTTGATTTAGAATCCACTGTGGTGGGGTACACAGAGGAAATTATCCACAGAAAAGTGTCATTGTTCAAATATGATGAATGATTATCATACTTGAATAATAATGGATTAAAAGAGACGGTTTTATTTGACCGTGGAATATTGTGCTTCGTACTGTCTTAATGATCACTTTGCAATGACACAAACTAACACTGATCACTTTTGTGACAGACCTCCAGTATTTGTGAGTCGTGTCAGTCTTTAAGTAGCTTCCTAAACCCGAAGGAATGCTCCTCTGGAGAAAGTCACCTGTTCTCTTTTTGGCCGTCTCAGCGGTAAATTAAAGTCTGTATAAGGATAGGAAACAGGGGAGGCACTGGTTTAGTCCTGAGGCAACCAAAAATCTGCCTGCCAGCTGGTGTAAAGCTCATTAATTTATATATATGCTGTTTTTCAGGGCATTTTAACTGCCAGATATGAAAGCATCTTACAGCAGCGTTCTCCTGTCTCTTCGTAGGTTTTAGTCAAAGGAAGTCAAAGCATTGTGAAAATGACTTTATATAAAGCTTAACACTAAGCGATCAGTTACCAGACTCTATGTTCAGCCTCATATTGCTGTGTAGAACTTCAAGTTTGGAAAACCTTTTGTGTAAAATCATCAGTGTTATTCGTACGGCTTCTCCTTCTTAAATCCTTTTCAAAGGCAGGTATTTGTCATTTCAACAAAACTCAGGAGGCTTGATTTAAATAATCAACTCCCATTAAATGAATAACTGTAATGTAAATAGTATTACTGCCCTGAAATGACGCTCCACCTGCAAACCAGTCGTAACAGCTGAGAGTCGTTTTTAGCCAAATGTGCGGGTGGATTTTACACAACGAAAGCCGTGGAGGAGGATTTGTTTCCACTTTTCAAAGTTTATAAGAAGTCTTCGCTGTCTGATCGGCGCCTCTGATGTTCATCCATTTCGTTGCCCAGCCCATCGAACGGCGGCCAGGACTGCCCAGGAGTAAACTACGAGTACCAGTTGTGCAACGCAGATGACTGTCCCAGGCACTTTGAAGATTTCAGAGCTCAGCAGTGCCAGCTCCGCAACTCCCACTTTGAATTCCAAAATGCCAAACACCACTGGCTGCCCTACGAGCATCCTGATGGTAAGCCAGAAAAATGTCAACAGATTGTTTTGCTCAGGCCTGAGGCTGCTTTGCTGCTTCTTTTATGCCCCAAAAAGAACAATGAAAGCAGACGAGGGCAGGAGACCTGAACTCAGACACAGCTGAAAAAAACATATAGTGAAGCCAGCCCGTCACCACGCTGGCCACACTCCTTTGTGCAAAGGCAATGTTTGTGTTGTGTCCTCTGTCATGTTTTTCTTTTGTATTCTCTGCGTTCTGCTTTTTCCCATCCGTGTTTAGTCTTCCATCTCTCTGCTGGGATGAACAATTTAAACCCGTTCAACCTTCAAGCTTTCCCTCTTTGCAAACGTAATGGATCACCTGTGCAATTACAAAACTCTGGGCAGGGGAAAGTCAGTCATGTAGAAAATAAGTAGGAAGCACACTGAGAAACTGCAGGAAGGTGAGAAATTAAAATCCGATCACGGCCTTCAGTGGAAGGCAGAGAGCTTTTTATGATGTCTGCAGTGCGATTTGACTGTTGGGTGCTGATGTTTTCATGCATGTTCTTGTTATTTATGTTCAGATTTTGTCTGAACAGGTTTTTCTGGCGGTTTTTGTTCATTTTAAAAACACATTTTTAAAAAGAACAGAATGGAAAAAACCCAATATTGACAGATTTTTAAAATATGAATTAATAGTTTATAAAAGATCAGTTGCAACATATTTTTGCAGATGTATATTCTTTTTTTGGAAGTGCAATAGTTTTGCATTTGAGACAAGAACTAATCACCGCACTGCAGATAACCAGCCTGCCTTTGACAGCTGTGTAAATGAAAGGACAGAAGCATTCAGATGTTTTCTGTCATTTTTTACATATGATCCAGTTTTTTCGGAGCCTTCAGGTTGTTTTGTTTTCCTTTTTGTTATTTTTTCACAAAGAGACAGTGCTCATCATGTAAATGTGCCAGAATCAGTCACAAAGGCAAATTTGCTTTGGCAGTCAGAGGAAGTTGATGGCTCATCCAAACATTGAAAGAAAATCTTCATAAAAAAGCAGCTGAGCACAGCTAAAAGCCCCAAAATGCAGAGAAGGAAAGAAAACATGAACACATACGAACGACTGCTAATACGATGCTTTTTAAGACATAACTCAGCGGTATCAGATTCCTCATGTCTGCATGCATATTAATACAGGTATTATTCACACACTGACTCCCCAGATTTCCTAAAGCACCTTTTGTAATTTTTACTTTACAGTCCAGTTTAGAAAATGTTCATTTTGTTTAATGAAGTCGTTGAGCACAGAGGCCTGAATCTGTGAAATCTGGTTAAAATGTAACAGTCAGGTTGTAAATGTAACTTTACCTGATACTTAGACTTTTTATTATTGATTATAATGAGATTGTAATGAGGTAGATGGGGTGTTGATGAGTGTTAATATGTCCTAAAATTCAAGGCGGTCATTGTAATCACTGCAACACAAACAATAAATAATAAACTGGTAACAGATTGCAAAGCAGGAAAATCAGAAATACACGTAGAATATGCATATTTTGCAATTTTGTTACCACACCAGCATTTTTTGGCTCATGCAGTCTATTAGCGTTATCAAAATTCAGCAATCCAAGCTTTTCCAACTCCACTGACTTTTCTTAACCGTTTAGCAGGGCTAGAGCCTATCCCAGACTTCACAGGAAGCAGGAAGCTCGACGCACCCTGAGCATCCTTTGACCACTCAAAAAAAACAACAACCCCACAATAGATTGATGGGTGTTTTTTTTCTCTGTCTAAGGAACTTTCAGATCGTTTCAAAACCACTTGGCTTCAGTTTGTTATGCTAATCTAAGAATTCATCGTCTTGCAGCAAACAGGAGATGCCACTTGTATTGCCAGTCCAAGGACACAGAAGATGTGGCGTACATGAAGGTGCTGGTGCATGATGGGACACGATGTTCTTACAAGGACGCCTACAGCATCTGCGTGCGTGGAGAGTGTGTGGTAAGGGTGTATTCAAACTACATCAAACTACGTTTCTACGAGCTGTGTGTGCTCGTCAGCCACGTTAGCAGCTGCAGACTGCTGGACTACTTAAGCTTTGCACAAATTCATTTAATTACACAGAGTTAATGGAAGTAAACCAGCATCGGGTGAAGGAAGGAAGAAGGTGGCTTCATTATGATGTTTATATCCAGTACTGCTAATTTGTTCTGAGATGTTATTTAAAGAAGAGTCTGTTTTTCTGTTTGAAAGCATTTTTCAGTGGCGTTTGGGCCTTTTTCACTTTGCTTTTCAGCTCAGTTGTGAGAGAGCATGGCAAATTATAAGCAAACAGTTTCCTCTGTTTATTACTGAATATCCTGAAGATGATGATGAGCTCCATGGACATAAAGTTATTTTGGCTCACGGTCAAAACTTGACACCTTTTAGCAAAGAATAAAAATCTAACGAGGAATAGGAAGAGATTCCCTCGATGTGTCTAATCATCCAGGTGAGCTCATGATTTTAAATGCTGACCTGACTCGTCTTCCAACCCCAACAGCAGTCAGCTAACATCAGCTCGTGTCCAGTTGGCGCTGATAAACCAACAGCTAATGAATCCGTTACGTGACATTTGCCGGGTCCGCTTAGCATCAGACACGCTGTGAAGGTAACGCTTCGTGCCCTCGGCCAAAAAGCAGTCGGGGTTCATCTGTGTTGTTGTTTTCTTGGTCTCCAGAAAGTTGGCTGTGACAGAGAAATTGGCTCTAGCAAGGTTGAGGACAGATGTGGGGTTTGCGGTGGAGACAATTCTCACTGCCGCACCGTCAAAGGAACCTTCACCCGCACGCCGAAGAAAGCTGGTAAGAGCTCGGAGCTAACACACATCATCTTAAACAGGATTATTGTTCGTTTGTTGTTGTTTTATTTACTGTCGTCACATGAATGATTTATTTAACTGCGTTTTTCTTAACTGCCTGATCATTCATGCAGATAGTCACTTTTATTTTAAACATTAAGTTATAAATGATAAACTCAAATCTTCATTTGGTGTATTCTTTACTAAAGTCTCCACAAACATGCTGGGGACAAATATAGAATACAGATGGTCATTAACATCTCAGTATTTTTGCTGTATTTTCATGGTCTTCTCACAAGCAGAGTAGAGACTTTCCCCCCATTATAGCACCGGGGTTTGATAAGGCTGCTGTTTTCTGCATTGTCACATTCAACTCCAGAAACCCATTAGTTCATGCTTTAGTTCTTTCAGACTTTCCTCACCTGTCCTCATCCTGCATGTGGCGTTCAGCCCAATTACAACCCCCTGTTTACTTTTTTTTCTACAATTTCTTTAAAAATCTATAAAAACTGTAATTTTTAGACAGAAACAGAAATAAGTTGGTGCACTTTAGCATGTTTAAAATCAGCTTCAAATGTTGAAATGTTGCACGTTGGTGCTATTCTCACATCTGTTAAAGCAGAAGAATTCAATTCTATTCAGTTTTATTCATACAGCGCCAAATCACAACAACAGGCGCTTTAGATCGTAAGGTAGACCCTCCAATAATTACGGAGCCCCGCAGGGGACATGGGAGAAAAACAAATTAAGACGGACTTTTGCGAGATCTCGCAAAAGTCCGTCTTAATTTTTTTTTCTCCCATGTCCCCTGCGGGGCTCTGTAAATAATACATACAGCAAAAGCCAACAATCATATGAGCAAGAACTTTGGCGACAGTGGGAAGGAAAAACTCCCTTTTAACAGGAAGAAACCTGCAGCAGAACCAGGCTGAGGGAGGGGCGGGGCCATCTGCCGCCACCGGCACAAGAGGGCTCAAGATTTTTGGGAGATTCTTGAGGGATGTTGTCACCTTAACATGACCTAAGGTTATATTAATGTGAGCTGCTAGCTTTACTAGCTTCTTATGTAAACAATCAGCAATCCATTTGTAAGTGAGTGAGTCATCACTAAGCTTTGTGCCATTACCTCTGCCCAGCAGGTCACATGACTTTCGTTTGACTGTACATGACTGTCGTTCAAGAGCAATCTGAGCTGCTCGCTTCTAAGATGAGAAAAGTACTGTTTCACTTGACTTCCTGTGTAATGTGACACCTTCTGAAATCCTCACTTTATATTCATGATAACTGAACATAAATAACCTCAGTCTGCATAAGTGTATACACTGTGGGTTAAATGTGAGCAGTAAATGCTGTCAGCATGAAATGTGGGCTTTGAGTCTTCTCTGGCCTTGTAACTGTTATGAGAGCATGCACTCCTTTAACTACTGATTTAATAAGCAAAGTGGCAAACGCTTTAAAATAGATCTTGATTAGTCGACCGGATACAGCCCATTATCAGCATGCCACACTTGGTTATCCCATTTTAGTTTCTAGTGTCTCTATTTACCCTTTTAGAATTTAATATCTGAAGCCCGACCCAGTTAACCCAAAAACGTGCAGAGCACTTTGTGGCAAACGGATAAAGAGCCTGTCGCAGAGCGAGGAAACATTTCCGATGTTCCACTTTTCAGACTTGTGTGGTAAGCCACTGAAATGCAGCCGGACTCAAATGAGGAATCTGACCACTTATAATTTCCTGTAGTCAGTAATCGATACGGGATAGTGCGAGAGCTGGTAGCTGACTCTGCTGTGCAGTCATACAGCTGAAAAATGCTGCAAATATTCCTCCTCAGCCAAAAATTGATTTGTTCTATTTGCAGGAGGTGGATGTAAACAGAAACCAGGGTGTTTGAAAGGGATTTTATCCAGATAACAATCACCTCACGCTGGCAGTAATGACAGTAATGAAGTGTTTCCACAAACACAAACACAACAAATTCTGATGTAAGCAGATTTTGATGTGGCAGTGAAATCTGAACTTGTCTGGGATCAAATATATTGATGCCAGTGCTTGTTATTTTTACTCTGTGTCATCAAAATCACTGGCTTCATCAATATTTGGATACATATTGATATAAACTATGATGTTGATGCTTCTTATTTGCTTAGTCAGTGGACACAGCTACAAAGTTTATATGAGTGCACAAAAGTCATCTACGTAACGGCAAAGAGAAGAGGAGATGGGTAGAAACTGTATTTGCATTTATGCAGTTTCAGTAAAACAGCCCTGTTGGAACACATGAAAAAACAGCATAAAGATGAGAGGTTTCCATAAAAGAAAGAAAATTCAAATGTGGTTGAAAGAATTAATTTTGCATTGCACTTTTCAGGATTTTATTCATTTATTTTCTACCGTGAATATAATGCAGATTTACATTAACGGTGTAATTATGACCACCTTCTGCTGTATCTTTGTCATTTTTCCTTGCAGCCAATAAAAGGCTCTACAGGGCCGGAGTGACACGCCGCTGCTTCAGCCGTCACTCTGAACAGTCCGGCTCTTATGAATTAAAAGAGAAATAATCATGTCCTTCTGCATTAATAATGTGTTTTCATTTTTGAATACATTTGTAAATTCACCGACAGCCATTTAACCAAACCACCAAAATCCACCCTTGTTTTCGGCTCCATCAGTCATGGATCATATATCATTTGATTTCACTGAAGTGCGAGTCTGGATGTGATGGCTTCATCAAATCGTTTAAGGATGAACTTTACTGTAACTGTGATCCTTCGTCTTTGTATCCTCACATCTCTCTCTCCCAGTTAACCACTCACCTTTTTTAACAGGGAAACAGTTAAGCAAGAGAGCCCAAAAAGAAACCGCTGTGTCCGAAAACACTATATGCAAGTATCCAGTGTTACTGAATCCCTTCGCGCCTCCTTTGCTAGTATTTCCTGCCCAGCTTGTAGTACAGATGGATGCTTAACACTGTAGAGATCCAGAGACTCGAGTGACATAAGCTGCTGTTTCTTCTGTTCCCTGTTACTAAGTGTCTTTATAGAGCTGACTTAGCTTTTGTAGATGTCCCAGGCTCGACATACATCTATAAAACTCTTTACAAAAAGTTACGCTTCATGATATTAGTGGTATTTTATTATTTAACAGCCTAACAAACTAACTTTAGTGTCCTAGCCCAGATAAAAAATGCCACATTAAACAAAGCTGCAGATCTTTGAAGGCAGTCTGAATACAGCTGGCCATTTCAAACCTGGTTCAGTCTAATGATCCGCTTCCAAAGGGTCATTTTAGATAACCAGCTTGTGTACGCTCTGTTATCAGATTGTAATTTCTGTTGAGCGTCTTGTGGCTGAGAAATTGGGTTTGATTAGACGATGATCTCTTGGAAGCAAGCGGTCTTTTCCAACACTTGGAATGCAGACCATGTAAAAATGCCTCTCCGCCACCTGCTGTAACCCTGTGTTAGCTGCACCTCAGCGTACAGTTGCATTTATAGTCAGCTCAGCCGCACCGATGTGTGCGTGCCAGGACACCCAGAGTGTTTGGCCTGTCTGTCAAATCTAAACGCGAGTAATTACAGCTGCAGTTTTCTCCTGTGAGTGGCGGAATCCGCCCTGCCGGCAAACGTAGCTTGCTTCCTCATCCAGCGACAATTGCTCTGGTTCCTCCTATGCTCATTAAATACGTCTCCCTGTAGGTGATGTTGTTGCTGTTAGACAGTGAAAACGAGAGGAGGGGACATGTGATACTCACTAATGATTTATTTCATTCCAAAGGGAAGACGAGAGGCGCCTTTTCTTTGCCCAAAGGAGCTCGAAATGTGTTTGTAAATGAAACAGAGGACTCTCGAAATGTACTTGGTGAGTCACGGTGGGTTTGTAGGAGGCAGACATCCCTGACAGACAACTTTGCTGGTCTGTAGTTTGAAAAGCTTTTTACCTCCTTCCTTATTGAAACACGGCCGAAGGCTCTCTTCATATACATCCTGTTTGCACAGAGCCAGTGTGAGCAGAAATAAAGGACGATGGGCTTCCTTTTAGAGACTTTCTCATTTGATAACCAAATAGACACGAGTAAACCTTCAGGGCCTGTTTCAATAGAACCTTTTTACATTGAGGAGGAAAGCCAACCAAGCATTTTCTTCCTTCTTTAACTTCTTCAAACATCCTTGTAGAGCAAAGTGAACAAAATGTCTGGAACATGCGGGATGTCAGCCTCAGCAAACCGAACAGATTATCCTTGTATCTGCTTAATGTACCGTTTCTGTCTTATCTTTCCTAACCCCCCCGTCCTGCTTCTGCTGCTGCTGATGCTGCAAACTTGGCAAAGGTTACCTTAAGATGTTTCTCATTCCTCCTGGAGCTAGACATGTGATCATCCAAGAACATGAGGCCTCCCCTCACATTCTTGGTAAGTGTGATTTTCAGAGATGAACACATGTATGAAATCTTAAAAAGCTCTTTGCCATCCTCCTCATGTCTCCTCAGAAGACCGATGGGAAGATTCTGTGAAATCATAGATTTTGCATAATTCATTTCTTGTCACCTCCCAAGTTGAGGAAAATGAATCTTCTCATTTGCATTCATTATTAATCGTCTGCTAGATGAGCGTGCGCTTTCTTTTCTGCAAAATAGGACTAGTTTTTCTTTATTTAGTTGAATTTCCAATAACAACCAAGGACATGTAGAATTAATCAGCCATATTCAGGAATGAATCATAAAGACGTGGCTTGTTATAGGATAAGTTTATTCATAAATGGTGAAAATAACCTCCACAGATGGGATTATGTAGTTACTCTTAGTGCAAGCTAAATAAAATTAATACCTGAATTCAATTTAAAGGTCATGTCCTTGTGCACCTTTGGACTGCTTCCTGCGCTGCTGCTATTTTTAGAAGTTCTGTGTGTCTGTGATTTCATCCTGGAGCTCAAACCTGAGCAAAGTCAAACATCAACTTCTGTCCCCCCAACTCTGATGTCAAGAACAACCCAACAACACAAAAGCAGAAGTAAGGTGAAGAGTCCGTCAGGAGTGCGACCAGCAGCAAACACAGAAGCACGATCAGTGTAGTCGCTGGTTTGATTCCCTCCAACTTTGTCCTCTTAAGAAAATAACATTTAGAAAATTTCACAAAGAACAAAAAAAGAGACATGTTTGTCCCACTGGAGGAGGCCCTTTGTGTATTCTAGACACACAAATGTGAGTGATAAGAATCTGACAAGCTGGCAGTTTGCTGATAACAGCAACTTTAATGAAAACAGTGAAGAACTTTATGATTACATGTCAAATCATACTCTTTAATCCTCGTGCAATACGCGTCTGTCAGTCGAATGATCACATAATGTGTCAACTTTTTCTGATGGAGTAGATGGATCCATCCTTGGTTTTTGTCTTTGTATTGAAAGGTCAATTTACTGTAAGTGAAAAAAGCACGATTTCTGCCTTTAAAATGCCAGTTAGTCAAGTCGCATGTTGGGTCTGGTAGAACAGTTAGTGATAGTGATGACTAAAGGATCCTGTTTCTGAGTCAGACTGAGTTTATGTGCAGCTAGAAGACAGTAAATATGCCAAAAAGGAAAACGACCTCAAAGTGGTTAAAAAGGCTCCAAATGTCAGTATTTGTAACTCAAGTACAAGCAGACTGACAGTGGAGGAAGTCAACTGATCTCACACTAACATAAAAAAATTAAGAGTTAAACTCTTAAAAAAATAAAGAATAAACATGAAAGTTCATAAAACATCGTAAAAGCAGAAACAATATTTTCCTCTTTTCAAAAGGAGCAAAAACCACCTGCTCAGTAAAAAGAGTGGGAGGAGGAGAGGATGATCTATTTAGTGTCTGCCAGGTGATACAGGTCAGCATCGCTCTATTTCCTCAAAGAGCTCTTTGAGGTTAATATTTACACTGACAATTATTTAAACCTGTAAAAGAAGATGAATGCAAGCACAAAAACACCAAAACAAGCAGCAACAACACTTCTGTGTGGAATGAAAAGGTGATGGAAATTATAGAAATAATTTGTGCGTCTTTAAAAAGAGCCTGGCTGATATTTGTACAGCTTGTTTCCAAAAATATTAAAATGTACACAAAATTAGACTAGAAGCAAACAAAAGCTCTTTGCTTAGCACAGAACGAAGCTGTTTGACACCGACGCTACTAAAGGGCCCTAAATAGACATAGAAGATACGCTAAAACACTGAGTCTAAAATCTAGTATAATATTACTGTTACCATCTAAGAAAGATTGAGTACTATGGTGTGCGTGTTTAATTCAGTCTGTCCAACCTCATACGTGCACGCTGCAAAATTGGCTGAAATCTCAGTGACTTTTGAAACAGCTCACTATTCATACGGCACCTCAATGCACAAGGTTCAGCAGCGGGGTAATAGTCCAGTCAAAACGCAGCCTGATTGCAAGCGCGTTTTATCCTACTGAATGGAACAAGTAAGAAAAATGAAATAACTGCATTACAAATGGACTCTGTGTTATTAGAGTTATTGAACGGTGTCTCGTAGAGCCACAGTTGTGTTAGATGTGAGGGTCTGAGAAGTTTGTGCACCTCTCTACCAAACAAAAGAATCAGTGGTTTAAATTAAGGTTATGAAGCAAGACAGTGTACTTAAGGATGGAAGGAGAAGATGATAGATGAGTCTGAATATCCGGGGTCAACCATCCAAAGCAAAGGACAGTGGACAGGAGAGATGAAGAAGAGAGTGCAGGCAGGCTGGACCGGGTGAAGAGATGCTGCTGAGACCCACCATGATGGCACTGAGAAAGAACAGGTGGCTGAGCTGGAGATGCTCGGACAGAACAGGATTATAAATATCAGGGGGACGGTTCACACTGAAGATGATGCTGCAGAGCCAGAGGAAGACCACAGAAAGAGGTTCAAGGATGCAGCGAAGGAGGCTGCAGGATGTTGGAGATGCAGCCGAAACAAGATGATATGATCCAAATTAGCGATTTCACATACTTACTTTAAAGTTCTGTGAACTTTTTCATTTGCCTGCTGGTATAAACCACTAATAGTAGTGTTTTTAAATTAATTATTGAATGTTTGACAATAATGGTGCACTTCAAACAAAATAGCACAGCTGAAACCAGCAGGGACTACTTTCCCTGTTTTAATAGGATGCAGAGCTGATGAGTGGTTGGAGACTGCATCGTTAAAAACTGTTGTAAAGCAGACGGGTGCTGCAGTGGATCATCTTAAATGCTTTTTAAAAGCATAAAGGAAAACTTGAGCAGCAGAAAGAAAGAAATGATCTGCAACATCATGTTAGCATCTTTTACTTGTGTTGCATTTTTCCCACTCGATGCATTTAAATGCATTTATATGTATTTAAAGCATCTGATCAACATACCAGTTTTCATTTTTGTCCTCACAAGTTTTATTATACTATGAGTTTGGCAGTTTGTTTTGCACAGAATGAGGAATAGTTCAGACATGCTTTTGTTCAGGCACGGTCTTTTTCCGAGTGACTGCTCTGAGAGTGCATTTTCTTTCTCTGTGAATAATTCTGATCTTTGTCATCTAGAAAGTAAAGCTATTTCAAGTTTGTCAGCAGCTTATAACAAGTGACTGATTACAGCAATCAAGAACCAGGCGACGGGGCATTACATCCTCAACGGCAAAGGAGAGGAGGTCAAGTCCAGAAGCTTCATCGACTTGGGCGTTGAATGGCATTACATCATCGAGGGCGACGTAGAGACGCTGCAGACCGATGGCCCTCTGCACGACCCCGTGGTGGTGCTGGTAATAACACTTCCTTATCTATCGCACTCATATATGAATTCATTCAGAAGGCTATTTACAGTACTTGATAATGAGCACTAAAACAGTTCATCCCTCCTGCCCGAGTCTCCCAAAATCCCTTTTATCACTTATTTTCTACGGCTATCTGTTAGATTTTAATTATTGAAAATCATTAGTGTTATTTAAATGCACCATATGAGAATGTCTCCAAAGGAAGAGGCTTATCCCTAAGATAAAATACTACTTGAGATAAATTTGAACGAGTCAGTCCCTTCAGTTGTTTTAGACACATTTGCATTTGCTGGGAAGATTTTAATACATGTACAGTATTAAGCTGCTCCCTTCTTTTATTGCTGCGCCTCTCTGTGAGCACGAGGGAAAACAGACACAGTGAAACTGAGATCAGAGTGTAGAGACATCGGCATGACCGTGAAAAACAACAAGACCTAGCAGAGGCTGTCATGGTGCACCAAAACGAAACGAGTTAACGTTGTTTTCGTCCCCAGAGTTACATTTAAATGACTTTTTACAGTAACTTTGGACCTTCCAGTGTTACCGTAATGTTACCTGATCAGAAAAATAACAGGAGTTTTGTGCGATCAAACACTCCACTGTGACTCCTACCAGTATGTACCAGCCACATACTGGTTGCATCACCTCCACCAGCCAGCTCATCTATTTATCCTAGACTGATAGCTTTAGCTGAACTCAGTGCTAGCTTTCACCATTTTGGGGCACCAGCAGATGCACTCGGTTTCACCAAACACAGTTTGCAGTTCACTCTGCTGTCGAGCTGACACTAGCACAGAGCTATCTGCCAAGAAACACAAGAACAACAGAAAATAATGCATTAGGTTGTTTGTTTGTTGTTGCTGTTGTAATTTTTGCATTACTCAAATAGTCTGAGTACTACTACTTTAGTAAAGTACCAACTGTATTTTGCAGCTCCTAACCTCAACAGGTGCAATGACACTAAAGAGGGCTTTAAAAGAGGACCGTTATTATTCAGGTTTAGACAGTTTAGAAAATCGTGGGTACAGTATGAGTAGAGCTCTTATGTAAATCATTTAAAACCAGCAGCAAAATCTTCCAATCAAAACCAAAACTAACAGGCAGCTGATTCACAGCACATATTTGTGGTCATATGATCGTTTTCCTTGGAGCAGCTCTCTGGACTTGTGGATTTCTCCTGCTGAGCAGTGAGTGAGTTACTGTGAGGTGCATCAATCAAACCTGGTAGAGATCAAAGAAAACGTGAACTTGACTAAATCTGCCAGTGAAGGAAAGACCTGACCTCCATCATTTGGTTTACTCTCAGCCAAATACAACATGACTGAAACTTGAACGACTCCACAATGTGAGGTTTGTAGTGTCATATTGGTTCGTCTGCTGCTCGGACAAGCCATGATAATTATGTGATTGAGAGGACAAATTATAAGGATCTGTCACATGAAATGATTCATTTGGAGACATTTAAAGAACATCAGGACTCAACGGAGAGAAACCAGTGACTGCAGAAAATGCAGACGATCTCACGCCCCAAAAAGTGAAGCCAAACCATCTCTATCGCCCCCCGGTGTCTGACTGCAGTATAAGTCATAATCCTTCAAGCTCGGGTCCTCTACCAGAGGCCTGGGAGCTTGAGGATCCTGCGCAGTATCTTAGCTGTTCCCAGGACTGCGCTCTTCTGGACAGAGATCTCCGATGTTGTTCCCGGGATCTGCTGGAGCCACTCGCCTAGC